ATCCTATGGGAAGTTCTTCAACCGATACCACGGCAATCTCGTGGATCTCTTGGCCCGCCTGCAACAGTGAAAACTCTCTCATTTCAACTTCTGTATGTTCGGTTGAAAATCACTCTTGATTATTCCCCACTTTCATCCGGGTCGGCGTCAACCAATGCACTTGATTCAATAGTGATGAGGATTGGGTAAAGGATCTCGCGGAACTCCGTCACGGTGTTCAGTTCTGCATTACAAAGGCCATGTTCATATTCAACCACATTGCGCCAACAAACGAAACAGTAGATCACTATATATCCGTTTAGCCCGAATAACCATACTGTCCAACATGGACGTAGAGTTGACAGCTACTATTCGTCCGATATTATCCGATCAATCTCTGCCAAGTGGGTCATTTCTACATCTTTCAGCTGAAGAATTCCGGTTTTCTATACAAGTCTTAGACAACGAAGCGAGGAGTATGTCGTCAAGCATCCTCTAGACAGCCAAGTAGAGATGAAGTGACTTGTTGGAGGCAAGCATGATGAAACTGTGGAAAGTCAGAGCTGAACTCTAGTTGTGAGACAGATGGCGGCTTAGTGAGAGACACGTTTGAACGATGATGGTGAAGAAAGACGACACGATTATGCTTCACCATGCGGTTCTGCTCTGGTTGGCCGACCCCTCCAGGATGATGAGTATATAAACCCATCATCATCGCCCCCGAAACCACCGCAACACGCTCCTCCCACTCATACGTCAATACTTCTCTACACATAACGCGTCTCTATTCTCTCTGAACTATTGTCCCCGCTTCTTAACCGATCCATCTTCAATCAATCATCATGGGAGCCCTCGGACTCACTGCCTTCGAGCTTGCTAAACTCTTCGTCAACGGCAAGGATATCAAGGATATTGTTGGGGATATCGATTTCTCCAAGGTGCGCTTCCTCTCCCGACTCTGTCCATAATTTCTCGACAAATGAATGACTTCCGCTGACTCCATCCACAGATGGACCTTCGCACCGCCACCCGTGGTGACCATGTCACCTCCAAGCTTGCCCCGTCCAAGTCCGAGGGCATGTCCGACATTATCAAGAAGCTTGATGAAGACCTCCAGATCATGATTGCGGGCACGACCAAAGAAATCGCCAAGATTCCAGGCGAAGAGCGGACGTGGAAGCGTGTCGTCGGCACCATGGAAAACAACCCTCTCATTGAGAGCTACGACGAGGATGTGGATCGCAATGATATCTATACCAACAAGGGTATAAACGTTTTTAAGATTGATGGTAGCCCGGATGATTCCATTGTCAGAGACGTATGTGTTACTACTTAAGCAACGTGGATCATGACGCTGATGACGTTAGGTTATGACCTGGTTCACGAAGCTTGTCAAGGACCAGGATATCCTCGATGCCACAGCCATCGATATCAAATCCCTGGCCAACATTGTGGCACAGTCAGGAGCAACCATTGAGGATGCGCCGACCTTTGTGTACAAGAACGAGCAACATGAGCAGACTCTCCTGGACATTGGTGTCCTCCGCTATCCCGACATTGACCGTCCCTACTTCAAGGTTCGCACCATTCTACCTGGGAATCCCTAGACATGCACGCATGTGCTGATAACCTACGCTTAGCTCTACCGCATTGAACTCACCGCTTGGTCCAAGAGTGAGCGCTTTGTCTTCGTCCAGAATGACGAGAACGGTATCACTGGTGGTATGTAACAGCACTCTCACCATGAACGTAGCTAACACCCCACCAGTCTTCAACATGCGCAAGTACCGTCCCCGAAAGTCCGTGATGGAGGGATTGACCAAGGAAACTCGCAAGAAGGCGATTGAGCAGGCGAACTCCATGTTTGACGACTAAGCTGTGGATCAAGCTTTGGTGATGATGACTTTCCATGATTGAGATGTGTTTGATTGTATGAGTTACTGTTGTATGAATGGCGGATGTTTTTTTCTTTCATTTTTATATTGGGCAGAAATTGATGAATTTAAGTTTGTGACGGAAATGGATACCAGGCGGCCACCCATGGTGACTGACTGGCGCTTGGTCAGTTGGTCCAATCGTTTCAGCCACCGCCAAGCTTCGTGGCTCGTGCAACACAAACGTCCCTACATATCCAAATTATCTTTCGTCAAGTATCTCCACCGCAGCTCAACCCGAGATCGAAATTCCACCTACCATTCAACCATCGCACTTCTCGCACCTGCCTCCCAAATTCCGATGTTACATTCAAAAACCTCAAGCCGCCATCTCCTTCACATTTTCGCTATCAGGGAACATATCCTCCGAGTTACGCTTTACGTTTGAACCTCGCATTATCCTCACCTCATCATCCGCGCTGCATGATGAAAGGTCTATACGGAATTCCGGCCATTCTGGATCCTGCTGATATGGTGACAGCCCGACACATGAACAGGGCCAATAAGAGAAAGCTAGGCAGCTGCGACTTTAAAAACATGAAACCTATAAAGAAATCTGCATCACCAATAGCGGTCAGGAACATCAGGAACGAAAAGGTACCCGGGCTTGACTTTGCACCATTTGCTGCGACTCTGGCAGAGCGCCCAGACGTCATCGAGCCGCTCGTCGCAATCCTCAAAAAGCCCAAGGGAGAGAATAGAATCGGTGTCACATCGCTGTCCGATAAGATTCTCTGAGTTTCTCCAGATGGAGGCCCGATCCCTACGTATTTCAACGAAGCAAGTCTGTCCATGGTGGTAAAGGATTTTCGCCTCGAATACAACGTCAACTTCTTCGGTGGAGGCGCTGACAATATCCGGAATCTTGATTTAGACCTTGTCCCAGCCAAACTTGTAAATTTGAATCCGAGTCCATGGCTCAGGGAAGTACTCAGTAACGCCCTTTTGCATATGCGAATAACGTCCAGAACATTGTCTCGGAAACTCATTGATAATATGCTGTTGACGGTCATTAGCAGGATGGTGAGTGCCTTGAAGCGCATCTAATCCCAAAGGCCATCTAATGAGTGCAATAGCATGAAGTGGATCCTTACCTCCCGAAACTCCACCTGTCCTCGGAAGTCGCTTTTAAATATCATCACAAGCCAACCAATAAACTCTGGAATGGACGGTTGGACTACTCGATTGGAATTGATAGGACTGGCCGAGAGGGCCAGGGCTGGTAAGCGTGTCAGATCCGCCCCGATATTCACACAATTTGACCGAAATTTTTGTGTAGGGACCACTCCATGTATATTTGCGATGCGTGGAGACTAGGAAGCCTTGAAAAGGCAACAGCACTATTAACAGGGTATCTTGCAGTACTCCGCGAGTCGAGGATATCATCAGGCAGACCAGACAAGTTCGTCTATGGTGCCACGTCGGACGGCGTCGACTGGCAGTTTTACTGTATCACGAGCACCGGCGTTCTCAAAATCTCCCGCAGATTCTCTCTGAAAGATCCATCGGGACTCGATGTCGTCTTCAGAGTGCTGAAAGGTGTGATATTCGAGGCTATCAAGGAGTACCATAGGTTCGACACAGGGAAAGTCGACATTGTCAAGCTGTACGACAAGGTTTTCGATGAGGATGGGGATGTTATTGAGGTCGAGATTTGAATTGCTGGTGGGCCGTCGCTCGTGCCACGTGACGCGGTCCATGAGGTTCGAGTAGATAGCTCTCTCGCTCCCCAATACACACCACATCTGCTCATCGATCACCCCTCTCCTTTCTGTAGCTATCACGACCTGCTGTCTTTTCTCACCCAACAGACGGATCTTGCACGAGTGCTAGCCTACCATCTCGCAAGGTCTGCAAGGCTTCTCCATCCGCCCGCAGCCTTCCATGCCTCGCCCCGCTCCATTTCACAATCTGTATCTGTTGGTGCAAAGATGGGCTCGAAGAACTTCCAGTAACCCAAAACCTTGCTCTCAATATCAAAGATACATATCGTCTCATGGAGAATTTCGACGCCCTAGTCCTCTCGATTGCCAATGGGTGGTTGAGGGCTTTGCGGCGTTGGAGACGACGTCCAGCATGGGTTTGGGGGGTGGATGGCTGCAAGACACAGAGAGGCCTGATGAGTGAAAGAATGGGGCTGGAGCTTGGAAGTGAAGTCAATACTGTTTTAACTGATCCAAAGCGCGAAATGCTCTGTTGTGTATTCTAGGGATCAGCCTGATGAAGAACAAGGTGAACTAGTATACGAAAAGGGTAGAAAAGGGAATGAAAAAATACAATTGATTTTCAAGTTTTTTTTTTATTAAACCAGGCGCGGTAATGCTTGATGTCCAGTCGTAATGGCAGATCTCATGATAGTCAGCTGACCATCAAGAGTACTAGTACTGAAAGAAAAGGGGTTTACGTCACGTAAAAAGGCATGGGCAGACGTGGACGCTGATAACTAAAGATAGAGTAACTGTTAATTCCATGGGGGGTGAAACTGTTGATGCCTAGAGGAGCAGGGAGAGGACTGAGGGACAGCAGGATAGAAAAGGAATAGAGGGCTAAGAGTTCAAGAAGCGGGGCAAAGAAAATCGCGAGGCGTACGCAAATGTGAGGGTCAGTCAGAAAGGAGAAGAATAGAGAGAGAGAGAGAGAGAATCGATGAGAACGACAAGAACCTAGTTAGGTATCTACCAGAGAAGAAAAAAGACAAGACGACAGAGCACAATGATTTGAGGACGCAGCGCCTCATGCATCAAAGCCACGAAACCCTGTTTCACTCAGATTCGTATGTGCAAGGCGCAGGTAACAATGAAAAGAGTAGAGAAATACGGGAATTTTGAAATACGTCAAGACCAAGAAAAGCACCTATCTAACTCAGAATCCACGTCAAAAGTGACGACGGCGTAGTCGTCGGCGGTGGGGGTAATCTGGGGAAAAACACTTGACGAAACTGCCAACGTTTGGTTGGGGCCATGAACAAAGAACACAACCACTATACCCGAGGTGTGAATGGAGTTCAAGGATGGCGATGTGGTTGATGCATGACGTTGCGACGGGCTCCAGGTGTCCTGGTGGCCAGGAATCTGGAAATACAAAAAGTACTTCTGGTGGGGGTCGAACCCACGACATCCGCATTGCTCAGAAATCATAAATCATCCCAAACGGGTGTGAAATATAAGAGCGGCGCGCTACCACTGCGCCACAGAAGTGGAACGGATACCTCTCCAATCGTTCTATCTCTCTTATACTTTATGGTCACGTCTACCACACAATTTACACCGCCCAACGAAAACACACAAAACCGTGGGGAGACTTCTACGGAGCAGAATCGAGGCAGCAACCACACTAGAAGCCGGGGTCGAAATAGTTCCCGACAGAACCATAGAGCCGACCATTCCAAAAGACAGGATACACATTGCCGATACCGAGAGAGCCTCAGCCATAGCATCACAACATGCAATCCCTCTGAGAGGAACCATAATAGTCTGGAAAGATGGGTCACATAACTCCGAAGGAAACATTGGGGCGGCCACAGCGCAACTGGACTTCGAAAAACAGTGGAAAACGAGACTATGGAACTTGGAGTCGACAAAAGAGGTTATCGACGCAGAACTATTCGCTATATCCGAAGCCCTACGTTACGCTCTACAAAACGCTCTGAAAAACAGAGGAGACTCGGTCAATACGCTCAAAGTCTTCACGGACTCCTAAAGCGCCTTGAGAAGGATCCAATCAACGGAACCAGGACCAGGGTCCAACGTCGTGGAAAATATCAGAGAACACCACCGAAAGCTGAAAGAAGAGGGTATAGAGACCCACTTCCACTGGGTCCCAGGGCACCACGGTTTCGAAGGAAACGAGGTTGCAGACGAAGCTGCAAAAGAAGCATCCAGACAGATCCAACACAAGAACGCGAGGCGTTTCGGGGCGACCTCAATTACCCACATCGTCCGGAGACTGAGAGAAAGAACGGACAAGGAAGAGAGAGAATGGGCAGCTAAAACATGCGGGAAATACTACCCGCAGCGATTCAAACTCCCCCGAACTCGGAAACCTGACCGAAAAGCAATGAGGACCTGTAAAAGCCTCGCGATCAGATACTTCAGATTCGCCACAGACAAAGGCTTAACCGCGGAATACTTAAAAAGAATAGGGAGAGCCACATGCGACGAATGCTGGTGGTGCGGAAACCTCCGACAGAACCGAGAACACCTCTTTAAAGAATGCAGACATTGGAGAAGACAACAAGAGAAGCTGTGGAAAAACCTAAAGAAGGTCGACCTAACGAAAAGGCATGCACTCTCTACTATTTTCGCGGAACGGAGGGCCACAGCTATTCTGAACTACCTGGAGACGACGAATGTGGGGAAGGTACAGAATGACTCCGAATTAAGAGAGGAAGAAGAGAGAAGGGCGGAAGAATGTGGGTGTGAGCAGCACGAAGAGGGATGAGTTGAAACGGAAGAAAGAGGGAGTAGGAGGCGCCGAGAGGAGGGAGCGGAGAGAGGAGAGAGCGGAGAGCGGAGGCGAGGTGACATACACAATAATGGAAAGGAAGAGGAGAGAACGTGCCTAGCAGCTTGCTAGCACAACTCAAAAGGCGGCCATCGCCAGCGCGAAGGGTCGGCGAGAAATCGGGTTGACAGTGGACGAAATTCTATGTACGCAGAAGGCCTGTAAGAAGCAGAACTAAAAGGGGAGGGGAAGGGCGGAAGCTGTAGAGTAGGTGACGCTCCATATCCCAAAGCGACGTATGCGCTTAAATGATATTAATCAATCAATCAATCAATCACACAATTTTACAGACGCGCAGCGCCCACTCCCTTTTTGCGGCTCTCCATTGCCTTATTGTCACTTACAGCGAGAGTACTTATCACACAATCCACTACAATCCTACCTAGATACAGGTACCTCTCAGTGAATTGCAGGCTGACAGACTGGCCCGTGATTACTCCCCTCCCCACATCTCATATTCTTTATGGCTGCTCATAAATCGAGCG